GCAGCAGTACAGTATGTGAGGAGCAAAGAAACTCTGCAGAAGTATTTGATACAGAACACCTGGGAAGAAAACCTCCAAAGGCTGCTGTGGGACAAGTGCCACGCAGGAAGTGCTGGGCATCGTGAGCTCCGTGGAGAACGCTTTCCTTCGTTTCTGTCCTATTGCATTTAGGACGACAGAACTGTATGTATGCCAGTCACAAATAAACGTCCTTGCGCCAAAGAGATAACTGACTTATAATTGTTTTTCCCATCTATGTGACCCTTTTTTTTTTTTTAGCTTACTGTTTTGGTCCAAAGGATATCCATGATTTGGATGGTTTGGGAAATCTAGTTCACCAGTGTGAAAACAGGAAATCCCCATAAAAGGGAGTTCCATGAATAGAGTTTTGCCTTTTCCCCCCCTCCCTCTTCCTCTCTCCACCTGATAGTACAGTGCCTTAATACCGAGTATCTGGGCTACCATTAAGGGACTTGGAGAAAACAGATTAACAGGTAAGAAATGAGCTATGTTACTGGAATTTGCATAATAAAAAGGCAAAGTGGTCCTTTTAGACAAAGTCTAAGAAAGCAGATTATATTGTTCTCATGTGATATACCTATATATAATTTATAGGAAAATAAAAATTTACTAATTGTTTTTACTTTATTTTTCTACAATAATTATGGGCTTGCTAAGGTATGGAAGTGACCTAATAGTTACAGTTGTGACCTCTAAGTTATTGTTAATTTTACTGTCAGTATGTGCTTCACATCTCCTACTTAATGGTATGCTAATTGTAAAGCAGGATGTCACATTCTCCAACATACAGATTCCCTATTTCAATTACAGCTAAGTAAATCTCCATTACTAATGAGTAAGCATTTCTTTTCCATGTACATTTGCATTATAATGGACATTTTCTTTATGCACTAAAATTATTCTTTCCTTGACAACAACTATATATTTTATTCTACAGTAAAGGCTATGACATGATGATTCATTCTTTTCTGTTGGGTTTATCTGTATTTAAATTGTCAAATGTTCTGGATAGCCTGACATTTTCTGTCCCGTGTTATTTTTTCTGTACTTCCAGAATAAAATTATGCATTTGTTTTAAGAAAATGTACTTAAGACAAATTACAAAAAAAGTAAGCTTACATGTCGGTCATAAATTAAGCTGTATTTTCAAAATCGTTGCATTGTTTCATTTGTGTTGCTGAGAAGTCTCAACTGTTTTTGTCAGTGCAAAGTGAGCTTTATGATATGTTAGACTCATTTGAATATAAAGAACAAGTGACCACAAGTGACCCATATCACTGCAAGATCCCACTCTGCTTAACAGAGCATAGCTCTTTGGCTATTACATACAATCCCCCGAACAGGCATTTCCTGCCCTGCTGATGCATATGTCTCCAAATGCAACGGGCAGCTGAGTAACATGAAGGGGAAGGCCTCCAGTTCTCTCTGAGCCTTGCAGCTCTGCTGCCAGATCCGCTCCCTCCTGGGGGCTGCGGCCAGTCACCGGTGCCGCCGAACTGCTGAACGCGGGCAGCCGGGTGCTGCGGGCGGAGATTCCCTTCACCGGCCAGCACGGTGACCCAGGAGGCTTCCCCTGCCCTCCTCAGGAAACGAGGGCAGAGAGCCGTCCTTCGTGCCGCACGGCCCCGCGAGAGCCCGTCTCCTTTTACACACTTGTAAGGCCAGCGAGTTTTATTGAGAAAGTCATAGCTTAATCTTTGATAATACGTGGCAAAGAAGGTGTTGCATTGATTTTGGCAGGGCCACTCCCTATGCAGTAAATCACGTTACAGGGATCTTTTTTAGATGCCCAAAGAAGGTTTATGTATCAGAGTGCATTAATTAACAACCATTAATATTCTTGACGATTTCTAAGTTGGCCTGGTGGTGGGTGTGTATATGGGGAAGAAGATGGGTGTTGGGTTCTTTTAATAAGTATATGGTATGTTTTAAAGAATCAAAAATGTGGTGAAAGCATTAGGTAACGTTCCAGAAGTGCAGGAGGAAATGTATGTAACCAGATGTTAGAAGTAACAGATTGATTTCCTGGTCACTGTGCATGAATTCTTTCTAGCCTTGTGTATATCCTGATAATCGGATGGCTTACAGTATAGATACAAAGTTTGTTTTGTTTTTATTTTGAAAGGCCTACGGTATGCAGCCTTTTTCCCAGACAGCAGCAAAAAACAAGGTGAACAATTTTTGCACTATGTGGTTTTGAATTCTGTCATATTTTCTATTACGTTTCTGTCTTCCATTAGGATAGCTTAGTTTACTATATTAACCACCACCATCATCCATATCACTTCCAATTCTGAGTTTAGTCCGCATTATGTATGTATGTAGTTTGATGGTTTTTCCTCTCTCCCGGGGGCTGGAAGTGGTTGCTCACATGTTACGGTTCAAGCCGTTGTTCCAGTGGTCGCCCTTTAATCAGTCCTTTTCGGAGCGGCTGGTGACACCTGGTGGTGTGTTCTGTGGATGCAGACTTAACCGTGTTTGCAGCTGCCGGAGGATTGTGAACTATCCTACCCCGAGCACTGACAGTCAGAGTTTGAGCTATTTAAATGAATCTGATCTCTTGCATGAAAAAATAATGTTGGAAGCACGTTCTCCTCCCACTAAAACTTACGTAAACCAAGAGAAGCAGTAACATTTCATTGCTGTTGGGGCAAAATTAACGCTTCTGACTGTGCTGTTGAAGTCAGTAGTGTAGTTGTTCACAAGGGCTATGTACCTTTTTTATTTTCTTTATTAACGTATCAAATATATTGCATAAATGAATGTTTTCTATATACTTATGCACTAAATATACTGCATTAAACTAAAAATCTTTTCTGTGAAAAACCTGGGTGATTATATTTAGAAATAATGATGTTTTCAAAACTTTACAGTGTGAATACTGAAGGAAATTTCTTCTGGTGTTTTATTTAATGCCATAGTTTCTGGCTTGAGTGTATGATTTTTCTTGCCAGCAAGTGTATTTACGTACGTTTATGAAATTCCACATCTCTTTGCCAGCAGATTTCCTATAAAGGAATATCTGGGATATACCGACAAGTAACTAGTACAAATAAAAATTAAGATTCCTGGAATCCTAATTCTGTGGTGAAATTCCTCAATAGCCAGGACCTATTGGGGTCTTCTCAGTTTGATTTTTATCTGGATAGATCTTTAATCAAAACTGATTCTTTTTCTTGCTTAATTGGCCCTTTACTGCCATCTAATTCTTTTGTTTCTTTGTTTTGTAAAGATGATACCTATTACACTTAATATGAAAGAAATATATAGCAATACTTTACCCTTATTTTTCTCAATCTACAGGCAAATCTAGTACATTGACAATGCAGTATCTTTAGTTGTTTCTGAAATATTGTAAATAAAGGGCTCCCAAAGTATACTGCCACTGGAGTCTGTGGAAGGAAAAAGACTTGGTGAAATGAGAATGTGTTCTTTATAGCCAATTGCATGTTATTATTATGCGGTTCTGAGACATCCAGAATTGGCAAGTAAAATTAAATGAGGAGAAATGATAGAAGAGTCAAGTTACACTGTTAATCTGAACATCAAAGGAGGGCAAAGGTCAGAGTTCAAAAATCATTGCTTAAGGGCTGCTTGGGGTTTCCCCCTCCCCCCTTTAAACTTACTGTCCCTTCAGTCCACTATTCATAATATATAAACTTCAGTGTAGGCAATCTGGGTTGAAGCTGTCCCTAAATCTCTTATGTTCATGGGGGCTCCAGTCAGATGAATTCTGTGCACAGTACGGCTGCTCTTCAGCATGAGGGGCTGGAAGTGCCACTTGGGTGTTGCGCTTCTGACGCCGCCCCGTTGGAGGAGACCTCTCACACAAGGACTTAAATGACCGTAACTCCCAGGCACGGGAGGAGGAGAATCGGGCAAATGCCCGTTCTGGCAGTTGGTGGGAATTGCTAACTCCACTTCTACAACATCTCGTTAAAAGTAACTTGACCAGATTTTTATCAAGATAATTTATTGAAGAATAGGAGTAATTTTTTCTGAGATCTGAACCCATTGAAAAGTGACATTTTACATGAAAAGGCATTGGGAGTTTTATCTGAGATAGGGCAGGTTTTTTTTGTCTTCTAAGTTTAGGGAAAAGTGTGGCATTTCAGCTAACAAACATAAACATTTAACAGTGGCCACTGGCAATTTTGTCTGGTTTTAGTGCTAGAGATTCCTAGAGCTAAATTGTACCTCCAAATTATATGCATGCTGCTCTCATTTACTTCAGCAAAGCTTGTGCACATGTTTCAAAGGTCAGGATTTGGCCGTTGGGGCTGAAATATCAAGGAAGAATGTATTAAAGACATCTGTGCATCAGCAGAACCATATCCTTTGTCTTCTGTAGACCATTTCAGCAATAAACCTAATGCTATTGGGCACTGCAAGTGAAACGTTTACTATTTTTTTAATTGCGTTGGGTTTGCATAGCAGAAATATTTCTTGCAGTAGTAGGTTCATTGTTTCATTTATTTCTTGTAACTCAATCCTTTGATGCTGAAAAGTTGTCAGTTTTAAGAGAGTCAAGACTGGAAGGGACCACCCTTCACAAAAGTAGCGTTGAAAATATACTTTAGCAATCAAAACAAGAGGAAATAGTCTAAGGAAATAGGTATGGTCTGTTGAGGTGCACAAACTTTCATTTGTAGTCTAATACAGAGAGGTCAATAAGTGTTTTCCACAAAGGGAGAAAAAAAAACACTTTTCATTGTAGACAGAGCTCATATTTGAAATTGTTACTAATCAGACATTTGAAAAAACTAAAACTTGGCATTCATTTTCTGTTGGAGTTAGTGTGCATTAAATTGATGAAAATCTTTAAGCATGTAGGTTTTCCCCTGTTTTTAAACATTATACACTTCTTAAAATGTTTATAATGTCTAATTGCTGCTGGATTTCAAGACATATCAATTTTGTTCTTAGTTCCTGCAGATTTTGACAGAATGTCATACCAAAATATTTTGTATTTTTTGTAGGACTGGGAAACAGAAAATCATGACTGGTATTGTTTTGAATGCCATTTGCCTGGAGAGGTGTTGATATGTGACCTGTGTTTTCGTGTGTATCATTCCAAGTGTTTGTCTGATGAGTTCAGGCTTAGAGACAGCAGTAGTCACTGGCAGTGCCCAGTTTGCAGGGTGAGTACCTACGAGATTTCATGTGCTGATTAGAGGATTGATATTCATTAATAGATTCATTAAGGTGTCCAGATGGTCTGGCCAGGTTAATGGATGAAGAACTGTATATTCAAATGATGGTACATACCTAGAGCATCTATACAGAGGTACCACAATACGGTGCATGTAGCAGTTGGTCATTTTTGAAGACTCCAGCAAGTTTTGCTTGCATCTGAACGCTCACAGTATACTGTGTGGGAAATGTGTGTACGTATGTATGCCATGTGTGAATGCAGTATATTGTGGAAATCTTCAACATGAGTAAAAAAAATTGCTGTATAAGATGCTACTGGTTTTACTTAACATCATTTTAATGACTCATAATGTAACTTTTTTTTTTTGTATTTTGATGACTGCATTCTTAAAATTTTATTGGAATCATATTTTACATTATAAAGCCACAATCATGTTACTGATGAAGGCAGTATCAGAAAATAAGGGGTGAAATCCTGCTTCTCATTTACTTGGTGGATTCTATTGGTGCAAAAAGGTCAATGTGGATTTCACCCATAGCATCCATATCTATATTGCTTTTTGTTTAAAATTGCTAATCTTGATGAGTGTGGTAGGGAAATAGCAAAGAGTAATTTTATATATTTTCCAAGAATGGGAAGATAAGTTGTCAACATGTCATTAGAAGGCTAAACATTGTAGTCAGGATTCTGCTTACAGATACCTGGCCTTGAATCAGCCAGATACTTCTCCTTACTGTTGTCATCTCCATGTCACCTACTGCAACGGAGCACATTCCTAGGCTTCCTTAAATGGAGAGAATAATGTATATAAATGTTTAAGAGAAAATTATTGCTATAGAAAGGCTTAGAACTACCAGTTGTGCACTGCCTTGGGTTGCTGGAGGGAGAGGAAATTCCCTTGCTGAAAGCTTAGATCTAGCTGCAGAGCAGCAGACTGACCTTCAGATGATCTGTACTGCAAGGAATGTAAGGGTTCAGGCACTTCATAGTACAGAGAAGCAGTTTTTGAAAACACGTGGATTGTTTTGTTTCAAAACAGCACTTTCTGACTGCTGTTACCTTAGAACCAGTTGTAAAAGACCTGTTGCCTCAGATTAGGAGCTCTCAGGGTTTAGGGAAATAGCAAGAAAATTGAGCCTAGCTCAAGGAATTGGAAAGGAATGAAAAAGAAGTAGTGGCAGGAAAAAAACAGTTAAGAATAAGGACATGTACTGTATCTCTCCGTATTGAATTACTATCATTTAATTTAGCTACTCATTATTCCCTCTGTTAAAAACAAAAAATGACCATATATAGGTGAATTTCTTTCAGATTTTTAAATAAATCTCTTTATTAATTGTTGGTTCTTGTAATAGGTATTGGTAGTTCTTATAAATAGTTAAGATTAGGTAAACTAGTTTCATTTACCAATAATTGTAGATGGCACCTGGTGACAGTAGGGAATGTAAATGTTTTAAGCCACTTTGTATGTGAGGTGGTTTATAACAGCTATCTTGTAACATAGGTTTTGCCACAGTGGAAATGCTGAATCACTGTGTGAAATACGCACAGATACATAGGGTGATTAGCTTTGAGAACAGTTTGACTTTCATCCTGCTGCCTTGAAATCCTCTATGACAATAATATTGAACAAATATTTACCTTGGAAAAAAAAAAAAACCCTGTGAAACCCAGACCATGTGCACTGTGTCTTTCTTGCTGCATATTGGTTCCCCTTTTGTTACACAAAGATAAGGAGAGGTTTTGCAGGCTCTTAAATACTTCCTGCCCCAGAGATTTTTGGCTTATTTAGTGTCTCAGATGATCAACCTATTTTTGTGAATATTGCCATTTTGAATGCCATGAAATCCTTTCCCTTCCTTTACTGGCAGCTCCTGTTTTCCTTGTAATTAATCTGAATCACTTCAAGCCCCAATTCTGCAAACTTGGACTAAAGAGGCTTGCACAGTCCCTGTAAACAAGGGAGATTTAGTTTGGCATAGGAGTTAGCATCCTTGTGTCAGGCTGCATTATTCTTCTGCTACTTTCTCCCCACCTTCCTAGGAAATGACTGATCTAATTTTATGTTAAAAGCAAGAGACCTATATTCAAAAAACTATGGTAGTTTGGAAAGCCCTGGCTAATGTCCAGAGGACATAACAGAGCTTAACTATCTTGCGTAAGGGCAATGGGATTTACTTTGCATTATCAGCAGTAAATATGTACGTTCAAGAAAAGTAATAGCTGGGACAAAGAGATGCATATATTTTCATACTTTCTTCTTGTAACTGGACATAGCACTTTTCACCTGGAGATTTCAAAGCTCCTTACAATGGTGAAGTAAAAGTATGTTTGAAACCTAATACATTGTGAGAAATAATCTAAGAACACTTCATTCTTATGTAAAGATTGCTTCTGTAATCTTGCCAAGGTCAGCAAACCTTTGGGTTATTCATTTCACAATTGCTGGTTGTACCTGTTCAATCAACCTGTGCAGCTTTGTCTTGCACGCTTGACTACTCAGAAACATTTTATAAAGGGCATTTCCAAGGATTTGTTTATAACTTTTAAAATATTTTCCTCCCATGATGTTTAGAACAGTCTCTTGCAAACCTTGCTCTGAACTCTC